TGATTTAAAGACAGCATGGCTTTTCACAATGCATGCGTAAAATAAGAATTTTGTGTATTGACCTTTATTATTAAGAGGTGTGTGTCAATTTTATAATTTTACTTCAAATATTTTAAAGTATTATATTAAAACTCTAGGCCAAATTCTGGAAGGACTGATAGACATTATTAGTTCCATATGAGCCTAAGAATATTTATAAACTATGATCAGGCTGTGCAAATTGAGACAGAACAGGTAAATCCTTGGAAGATAATCACTTTAATTATACTACTCCCTCCAGCACTCCAAAACTTCTACTTTTTTCCTTCAATACCAAATTATGAAAGTAGCAGACATCCTTTGACATGTACTGGGTTGTGAATTCCTGCCCAACTGGATGGCTAAACCCTTGTTGTGCTGCTGTAGTCTGCTTTCATCTTGATCTAGTACTTACCTAAACTCCTACAAAGCTACTAGCTGGTTTTCTGTGTGGCAAGCCCTAACAATCAGTCAGAAGGAATTTTGTATGAACATACCAGTCATTAGTGAAAATTTACTGTGTGGAATACTCTGAGTACAACAGCACAGCATAACGATCACAGAAGGAGGAAACATTGCAAGTTCAGGTGTTGCTCTAACAGATTATATGCCTACATACAATTATCTGCTTAAGAATGGGAAAGTTTGGAAAGCTCTTCATTCCAAAAGAAACCTTCAGCACAACTCTGTTAGACAAACTGAGAGCAAAATGAGTATCTGACTTCCTTTGTTCAAAAAGGCTCTATGAAATTACCTTTAGAAGGTAACAAGCTTCAAAATATTCTGTTCTGGACTTCTGGGCATGGGATTTGAATGCAGTTGATGACTTTCAAGATCATAAAATAAGAAAACACATCTGTCAGTTGATTGAAACATATTGGTAGAATAAATGCCAATTTTTCATTTGGGCACTCATCATTCAAACATGAGACAATGTAATGGCTGTGCATACCAGAACTCTTGGATAATCAACTGCATGGACACCAAAACAGGACACTGGATTTGCTCAGAAAGTTTTTACAAGTCATAATAGATTAGAACTATTAAACCTTGGCCTAAATCCAAGCTAGGGTTCTAAAAACTACTTACATAAATACAGGCTTAGTTTTTAATGGAAACTGCTTCTTCTTCCTTTTACCAGTAAGCTACGGGGTAGACTTACCACTGGTTTTTCCCAGAAACAAGAGCACAAGAAAAGGAGGAGTCATCTGTAAATTGTTACTGGAAACTAAATGGCTTTGGCAAATTAATATGTTTTCGAGTAAATCAGGTAACACACAATGTTATAAAATAACTGTTTATACAAAAGGCATCCAGCACATGTTTTTGTATAGGAAAAACAGATTTTCATAATGGCCATGATTTAGTGATATTGCTCCTGAAGAGATAGAATGAAAAATTACTATTTTCCCCATCAACTGGAAAGCACTGTTCTTTTTAGAAGGCAATTTGAGTTTGAATGCTTACACATAAAGGCACATCTTAGCAAGGATGCCATTAAAAAAAAAACAAATATACAACCTGAGTGGGGTGAAGGATGAGGGGCCTTTTTCCACACATCAGACAAATTATCCTTACATTACTATGACTTTAAAATTTCTTTTTCATCAATGTCAACTATGTTAAGAATTGAAGTTTCTGTTTTAAGATATTAACCCAGTTAATAAATTATCAATAAGGAACAGAAGGGTACATGGGCCATATATACAAACCACTAAAAAAAAATTATGTAAGCCCCAAAATTTTTGGGCCAATTTCTTCTAAAAGCCATCACATTTCATCACTTTTGTGCACCAGGAGTATGGCCATTTCTATTTAAAAATAATAGTAAGTAAATGATCTGTTTGATTTTTTTTTTTCCCCTTAAAGGTAGATCTGAAAAAGAAGACAGGAATGTGGGGCCTATGTATTTTATTTCAGCAGAAAATATGAAATCTAAAATAATACAAGCAATATATAGAATATAGGAACAGAAGAAGCACTTTGTATGACTGGAGGCTGTGTCTTCAAACTGACTTCTTTTAACCAGGTAAGAGAACTGCACAAACTTCACACAAGTGAACTGTTGGGTTCCAAATCCATATAAATTAAAATACAAAATCCTACTTTAACCAAGACCAAGGAAAGACCCTTAGAAGTTTGAGATCATTGTTTTGGAATCAAAACAAAAATACAGCCAGCTACAAAATTACCACTTTGGAAGCCTTATCTAGCAGGATAGCAGTTAGATCACATAAAGAATGAAGTAATATTGCTGTCAGATGCCCAAAATCTCAGTAGAAGGCCTGTAGATTTTTCACTGAAAAATATGAACAGCGGAACTGAGGTAAGGTTCCACTTAGAAAAGTGGGTCTAAGCAACGCTGTAATGTAAGGGAAAACAACTTCCCAAGATGGGGAGAACTTTTCTAAAGCTTAAAAACATGATGCAATATTAATTCTCTCTTCATGTACTCAGGTACCTATACTCAAGCATCATTACACTCAGTATAATATTTGCAGTGACCACTCCATGCTGATATTACACTGTCATATGCTGTTTCTGTGGGTTTTGAAAGGGAAAGTGAGATTTTTGCCATTCCTGAAATTGCCTGTACAAAATATGGAGTCAGCCTAAAGGACCAGATCCTGACTGGAAATTACATACTGCATGCATAAACACAAAAGCTGTAAGACACATGGTGCCACCCATACATAATTATGTGTTTTTCTTCTCCTTGTAAAAATCGTAGCTCAACAGAGTGAGAAATGTCCAAATGAAACTGAACCAATCAAATACATCCAGCTTGCTCCTACTCCCCCTCCCAGTACCCCCAAAAATCAATTTACAGCTGTACCAAACCATTTGCCAGATTTCAGGATTCTGGTAAACAAGTTTCTCCAGGGACAAATAACACTCACAAACTTACAGCATTCTTCATCCCAGCATGCATTGAAAACAGCCAATATTTACATATGCAACAGCTGATTCAATTCTGCTTTACAACACTGAAAGCATTCCATGAAGAAAAAAAATTGAAGATATTCAGAACCTAACATAGCATGCTTTAGCATTTTATTCTTTCCTTGGAGATTTTTCTATTGACTGCAATTAATCTTTTATGGGCTTGTGAACTTCTAAATTTTTCTTTGTATAAAAGAAATTGATGGAGTTAATGGGCCTTGCCAGCAGGTTGTTCTAAGCTTGGAACTGGTTCTTCCAACACCTGGAATTTTGGAAAGTGTCCTTAATTATTTCCTTGTGAATATGTGGTCATATATACACAGACATATCTATAAACTTATAGAATCATGTTAACAATGTCTCTTTAAGGGCCAATTTTACCCCATTTTTTGGATGACACTATTTTCTCCGTTCACTTTATTTATAACAGTGCTTAATCACAAGGAAATTTGCAGCATATTTAGCATGCAGAGCAGAATATTTCTGGGAAGAGTAAAGACAGAAGTAATAAAAATTATGCTAGCTGCTAAGGGTATAAAGTTGGTGATTTGGGGAATGTAATTTTCCCCTTTCATGGCAAGGGGAAAGGCATTCTGAAACCCTGGTGATGACAGTGCACTCTTAGAGCCTGGCAAGCTCCTGCTCTGAGCAAACACCTGCTGGATGTGTCTGCAGCACAACTGCTGTATTGAAAGAGGAGTCAATCAATAATGCAGGCACACAGCTTCTGATGCTCGACACTACTGGCATTTCTTTTGTCAAGTCAGATAACACAATCAGCCATGAAGCCACCCTTCCAATACACTATCACCTAAATAAAAAATCTGAAGATACCTGTCTTTTAAGGGTACTTTTAAAGTATGTTTATAGAACTTAGGTATTTTTCATTATTCTTTCACTATGTTTATTGGGTTTGTAGACCCTAGCCATTTAATCCAACGCCAGAAATCCAACCTCAAAGGCAACATGCTTGTCTGAAAATCAAAGTTACTTAACTTAGGAAGGGGGGAAGAGGGAATGGGGAGAGGAAGGGCACTGGGCTGCAAGTTTTTTGGGGGGAGAGTGTTTTTTTTTAATCCCTGAAGTCCTAGTATGTGCTCAAATTCAGGATTTTGGTTAGTCCTTTCTCTTTAGAAAGTATCAGTTGCTATGCGAGCTCAGTGCTGGAATACAACACACCCACAGCACTTCTAGGATATCTGATTTCCAGTGCCCCACAGCCATCTATGCCAAGGCCAGGATGGAGCTTCATCCTCCTCCACAGGTCTAGCACAACCACAGTGATACAGGCTGCAACAGCTTCAGTTCTAATCAGCTGCCTTCACACCTGAATCACAGACCCTTCTCCAGGTGCATCACCTGCCTAAGACAGAAGGTTTCAAGTAATATGGAATTCTGCTAAAGCTGCTTCCATCCTCTGCAGTGCTGCAGAATTTGAACACACATTAACATTAAAGCTACCATCATCAATTCATAAAAAAGAGGCTGACTTTGATCCTGGTATCCTAAACAAAACCTGCTACTATACAAATGGTTTGCATAATCATTGAACAATGTGAGAAATAAACGAGACGATTGTTGCTCTGGTTTTAAGCTAAAAAAGGGCTGCAAGCTTTAGAAATTTGTCCTTTTTGAAAAGCTTAGAATGCACCCTTCCTGACTGCTTCACTTTTTCACCTGTTCCCTGAATTTTTTTGTATCATAGGTATGCAGAAGGAATTTATGAATTTGCCCAAGGTGCTTTTTTAGGTTCTAAGGATTGATGAAAAAGGAAATTGAACACTGATCCACCTTTAATGTTGAAAAACAGAGAAGAATCCCTTTTTATTGAAATGAAAATGTGTTAACATTCCCAAATTATAGCCCTAAATTTCTAAACTGCCAAAAAGCTCTCACTTAAAAAATATTAGAAAGTTTACAAATTCTCTCAAAATTACCAATGCTGCATGTAATCATCTACTTAGCAATGTTTAAGTACTCTAATCTCTTTACATTTTTCTCTCTCTCTCTCACACACACACACAAAAATCACTGAGCGCTATTATCCATAGATTTATTTGCTTTCCCGGTAGACTACCTGTAAATCCTATTTAATATGAGTTAAAATCTGTAGTCTTGACAGGTATGGTTTTCTCACGTAGTGCTTGAAAGGCATGGTGATCTCTGTGAAGTGAAATGCAGCAGTAACTAATACAGGGAAGGCCTTGGAGCACAGCTCAACACCTTGCAGCAGTTTCTACCAATAAAAGGTAGCTCTCACCTCTGTGGTTGGTGAGGTCTCTGGATCCGGAGGGCAGAGGCGTGTAGTGGCTCTCTGGAGAGGCAGAGGCAGCAGCACTGGAGGCCTGGGTGACAAAACAAAGATATCAGTGCTCTGGGTGGAGGTGAGTGAGGAGGCAAAGCTGCTGCACCCGCAGGATGAGTGCTGGGATGTGGTTACAGGTGAGGAGTTACCAGCCACCAAGGATGAATTCCTTCTTGTTAAGGCTTCATGCCATTCCTCAAGGTTGCTGTACTCACAAGAGCTTACACAATGACATTATGTATCATTACTAAATGAATATTTTCATAGAGCTGACAGCTTAAAAAAATCACCATCTTTGTCAAGAAATCTTTAGGCAATGTTAAAAATTTTCCTCTTCATGAAACAGATTAATATTTACCTAAAGGAAGTTGTGAGTGTGGCCACATGAAAGAAAGGAGATAGAAAATAGAAAGTTGGGCTAAGGTGCCGCACTTTTCAAATCTAAAGAAAAAAAGATCCCAAATTATTTTCTCATTTCACTGTTCTGTGAGCTAAATGAAGAGATCTATTAAGAATTATGGTGCCTATAATGCAAAAAATCTGTACAAGTATATAGAATTGTTAACAATACACACTTAAAACCCACACCAGAAGTCTAATAAAAGAAATAAGTACCCAAGAGGACTTGCTCAGAACTCTTAAAAGCAAAATATTAAGGGAGAAGAAGCCCAAATCTTTCCCCATAATACGTCTCAAGATCCTATGATTCCAATTTTAATAGATTGAAGAGCTACAGTTTACAATGAACTGACCTTCATTCCATTGGATGTTTCAACTGAAGGAAAGATATATTACAGAATATAACACTAAAACAAGCCACATTTACCATCCTGCTTTTTAGTTACAGAACAGCAGTGTTGCATTGTTAGGAGAAGATATGAAAAGAAAGGACTGTGTTGGTGAATATGAATCAGTGTAAGGTTTTAAAGTTCAGTTAAACTTAGACTAGTGACACCATAGTGATCTGTCCAGTTTCAGATACAGAATTTGCTCTGGAGTATTTACAACCTACCCATTTCAACAGACATGAAAAGATGATGTGTTTAAATAGAGACACAAAGGAAAAGCTTCACTGAAAATTACATGATGATTTCCAATAAAAAAAAAAAAATAAGGCAAAGAGAAAAATACAAAAGCCAAACTATTTCTTGAATCTCATGATAAGGGAGTCTTGAGAAAATAATTGCTATCTTCTGTGCAGCTTGTTCCCTAATGATATATTGACTTCTAAACTGCAAAAGTCAATCAAAGGAATCCACCTCAATCTTACTTACTTTATAACTGAACATATCCTCAAAATTAATGAATCCCCAGCTTTCCAATGTCTGCTAAACATAAAAGTATAAAACTGGGCTGCAGTATTTTGGGGAAGAAAAAGCATAAATACTGATTCAAATCTTAATTACCAGACCAAACTCGAGAACAATAATCAGAAATCCATAGCAATGAAATTTAATCATGATAATAGTTGGTTACAGGCTGCAGCTTGGAAATCTTCCTTCCTGTAGCTGTTGGACTCCTAAATGATAGTACAAAACATGTTGAGGGGTGACTGACTAGATTAGCATAGTAAGCTTTTGCTTTTGGAGACCAGCCATCAATTTGTATGTCAGACCATAGTTATAATCTCATTTTTGTCCCTAGGAAAAATCAGGTCACAACATGAAGATGCATCATGCATCAAAACAAACATCTTAATAGAACTTAACAGAGACAAGTTTGCCTAAAGAGCAAGGATGCTGATTATGGGATAGGAATAAAAACAGAGAATATCCTGCCTCTGCTGACTCACCAGTGATAATAAACCCTTTCCAGGGAACCTCCTGTTCAGAGACATATTGCTGCAGACATAACTCTCACCTTCAGCCAGGATGAATAATACCTTGATTTTGGTGAACTGCAAACCTGCAGCTCAATCTACTCCAGACCATGAATTATTGGAAATCTCTCTGATGGCCAGTATGAGCCAAGGGCACATAACATGTCAGAGGAAGAGATAGAAACCCCTTACACCCAGCTATGTGATATTTGAAACTAATTCCAAGAACAAGCATCTGTTCACGACTACGTGTTTCCTTTGGGTTGAGTAGTTCTGGGTAAGAAAAGGAGAAAAACATCACTATTTAACATCAGACTTCATCCTTGTAAATCACTCAAAAAACTGGAAGAATAAGTGGTCTCATACTGTACACTCTAGATGTTATCTGCCTATTCAAGTGTACTTATTTGGGACTCTGATAACAGTGAAGGTTTCTCTTTGGTACTTTTAATCTCAATTTAGACTGTTGACAGCTTGATGATAGCTTTTCCTAAAATTACTGGAAGAGACTTTGCCATTTCAGCAATATACCACTGAGTGAGCAAAATTCAAGAGCTTCTAAAAAGGATATTGGAGTGAAGGGGCAATTTAGCTTTATTTCCAATTTTAGGAAATGCAAGAACAGAAGGGTTTGTTTATTGGTGTTTTTCTGTTATTTTATGTACAGTATATAATTCCCTGTCAAATATAGAAGAGTTTTCATTACCTTTGAGCTAAGCATTCAGTTAGAGTAACTTTAATTCTATGGAATATCATCCAGGGTTAGGATTGTTTTGCACAAACACCGGCTCAAGTTCCAAATCACGTTTCTGAGTAAGCCTGTGCACCAGCAGAAAGACAACTATTTGTTTTCCCTACCACATACTGACATTTGGCCCTAAGCTATTTTCCAAAGAGATTTGTATAGATTGCATTACTCTTAATATTCACAGGAATATTGTGACAGTGACAGCATTGACATGTGACAGTTATGTCTTCAAGCATTGGTGACATATGCATCACAAGTTCTTCTTGCAGTGCCAAGTACATACAAGTAGCTTTGAGGAAAGCTGTTTAAACTCCTTGATTCAGTGTTACAGGAGCAGGTCACAAAATAACTCAGTAAAGAAATTCTAACGGTATTGTTACAAAAGAAGTTTGTAGTTTTGCAAACCTTGAAGTCACCCAAGTTTTGCAGTGTATCATAGTTCGTGGTTTAGGACTTACAAGACAAAGTTGGACTACTCACAGCTCCCCCCATTATGCACATAACCAAACATTTGCTAAACTCTTTATATTAACCTGTGTATTTTGTCCAAACTTTTGTACTTGATACTAAATGGACTGTAAAAAGAGTACAAGATTTGCAAAACATATCCATCAAAATTACAGACATTATAGAAGATGAAGCAGGGGGAAAAAAAAAAACAACCAAGCAGACAAATGAAACTAAATTTGAGAGCAACAATACACCAAATCTTTAACTATTCAATCCTAGGGAATGATCAGGTAAGAACAACTTTCTTTGCACTGTATTTTCTTTTCTACAAACTTAGGAACCATACAGCCAGAAAAAAAAAAGAAAAAGAAAAAAGAAAAAAGGGGATGAAGAATGAAAGAAGGGATAAAGAGACTGGAAAATATGCAAGAGCAGGCCCTGAGTGGAGCACTCCATATGGCAGAGTACAGCTGGTCTGGCTCTCTCTCCCCAGCTGGGAGCTCAGCCAGAGGGTTCAAATGGGCTGGCTGGAGTTTGTCACCCACCTCAACACACTGGGCTGTTCTGGGAAACCAAGAGGTGGCACAGCATCCCTACCAGAAAAGGAGATTGTTCTTGAGGAATGGGATTTCCCAATTTCCTTGCTCCACAGCCAAGCAGACTTAGCCATGAGTTAGCAGTTGTCTTTGCTAAACCTCCAGCATGAATTAGAGTCACTTTAATGAACGGGGGAAAAAATAACCCATTTAGAAGAAAATTGTCAGCCACACACCAACAACTAGCTCTCAAGAGTGGAGGAATCTAATTAGACTAAAAAACAACAACAAAAAAGCTAATTTGTTTAATCCCTGAATTCCACTTTTCAAGGAACAAAAAAATGCAATACTTGGATGGCGCTAGTAAGGGAACATCATGGGTAGTATCAGGACATACTGTACATCTGCAGCATCAAAACAAATTTGTAGAGACCAATGATTCAAAAATAAAAATGCTGTGCTATTTTTGGCAACCACACAAGTTCCTTCAAATATTTCAGCTGTTGAAGAAAGTAAAGGGGGAACTCAGACAAGCCAATCCTTTTTGAATCATGGTTTGAGAAAGTAAAATTTAAATGATTCCAAATTATATCTCTCTACTAGACATTTCATGTTTATATTTCTAAACCCAGGAGTAAACAAAATCCCACTCCTGACGCTTTTAAATCTAATCAATAATACAAGTGTTTTAGCTATAATCAACTGTATGACTTTAACCCTAGCAAATACTCATTCCAGATATTTTAGCAGATTATTTTCAGATGTGATGTGATGTTACTAATACAGTAGCCAAATTATTGTAGTATTAGGACAGCAAGGAGAACAGTGATCTTATATTTGGGTTGGCTTTCCAATTTCAATTACCTTTAAGGAGAAAGGAAAGAGAATTTTTCTTATTTAACAGAATGGAGTTTAAGATTCAAAACATTTCAGATTCAAAGCATTCCCTTATTCTGTTATAAGTGACATTATCACTTCTCACTTGAATTTACTTTACCTTTTGGTTTTTACTTAATGTTAAATTGCAAGGTTGAAAGCAGGGATCAAAAATGCAAATGAACATCAGATAATTCTTATGCATTTAGGCTTAATTGAGTGTAATCGATATGTCTGGTGTGCAGCCAAATTCAACTATTGTGAAAAGCACCTAATGTATGGACATTATTTTTGGACTACTGAATGCCAGAAAATAATGAGCTGGCATTCAGCTTTGGTGAATCAGCCCTTGAATTTTCATCTAAGAGCAGTTTTGAATTATTACTGAAGATAAGGTGTAAATGTGCAAGGGAATTTTATCCATGTTTCTCCCATGAATCATAAATGAGGAAAAAAATTACAGTCTAAATTGCACTTAAAAGGAATAAAGTCTTTTCATGTCATACATGATTTATCAAAATGATCTCATTTTAAGAGTACTGTGGTGTATCTTGATTAATAACATTAGTAAGCATGATGAATGGCCTCTTTAATGGTAACACAGAATTTAT